TATGACGACGTCGTCGACGACGACGACGACGACGACGACGATGACGACAACCAGACATCTTAATCAGCAACTTAACGTTTAAACCACCCAATGAAACACATTCGATCACGATTTATTTTTTACATGGCGGGTTTTTTTTTTTTAACAACGTGTTTACCACCTGAATAATTATTATTATTATTATTATTGACATTGATATTACAACAAGTGACGTTTTGCAATTGAAAACCCGCGAGAAAAAAAAATTTAATGATCCGTTTGTATCGATAATAAACTGAAATTGATTCAAAACGAAAGGATAATAAAATTGCAGATCAGGTATTGTGTGTGATTACATGAGTTTTTTTTTTTTTATATCTGCTTATTAAGCACAAGCAGAACAGTTTGTTTGTTTGTTTGTTTGTTTGTTTTTTTTTTAAACATTTGCGTTGATGAATATTTGCCAATTTGCTAAAATTAGGTAGGTGATTATTCGAAATCTTTAAAAAACAACGATTGGGAAGACAGGAGAGTAGAGAGGGGAAAAATGCGTCGAAACAAATGTTTTTTTTTTTTTTTGTCGGGGGGAATGTTGGGGGGAATAAGTAGAAGTGTGAGAATAAAAAGGATGATTTTAGGTTTAATCTGCATTTTGTTAACCTTGGAGTCCAAATTAAATACCATTCAAGGACTTAGCGATAAGATAGCTTGCTTATAAGTTTTTAATATCTTTTAAAATCCGAATTTCATCCTCGGACAAATAAATTATTAATTTATCATTGTTAATAAATAAATTATTTGTTACTGATACACACACACACAGAGAAAGAGAGAGAGAGAGAGAGAGAGAAAACAAAGGGGGAAAAATATTTTTGATAATAAACAAGAGATCCACGCGCTCCCCACACACACACACACACAACGCAAAGACGTTAAGTTTTTTTTTTTTTTTTTTTTTCAATAAAAACAAACATAAACCACGTGTTTGCGTGTGCGTGCGTGCGTGTGTTTTAAATGATGATAAAATTATTAGCTACTTACTGACAATGTGTATCATGAAGGATGCAAAAACGACGACCCAACCCCATCCGCCATCGGGAGGTGGCGGCGTTGATATTTCATCCCCGACGTCGGATTCTCCATCCTTTTTAACCCTATTCTTCGGGGCGGGAGCATTCGTCATCTCCTCGGCTCCTGCCACATTCACTTTTTTTTAATTTTTAATTTTTTTAATTATTATTATTATTATTATTCAATTTATCCGTTAGACACGTGGGTCGACATTCACTATTCTGCGATATCCACGCGACGATTATTAAACAACTTCTTTATTCCGCGACCGAAGAAATACTGTGAACAGTGAATCAAACGACATATGACATTATTGCCTTCACTATTATGATAAGGAGCGGATTCAGGGTTTTTTATATTTATTTACTTTTTTTTTTTTTTTTTAATCAGTGACGTATTTAAAATTATTTAACTCGCGCGTTTTATTAATTTTTTTTTTTTTTTTTAAATAACTTTCGAATGATTTTAATTCATTCGCGTATGTAATTTTATTTAACCTTAAAAAAACTCAACAGGTTGTGTCAATATCAATACAAAATTAATTCCTTTTCCCCACCCTCTCTCTCTCTCTCGCGCACACACACACACACATACTCGAAGGTTAACCTTTTTTAATGAACTTAAATATATTTATCTTTTTTTTACGAAAATGACGCTGATGCTTTTTTTTTTTTCGCTCAAGGCCTTGGAAAGGTCAGGTTAAAGAAAAAAAAAAAATCAGGAAAAATATGAAATGATTTGACCCGTGAAACCGACCGTATAAGATTTCACAATACCGAATAATAATAATAATATTTCTCAATTTTTTTTTTACGTTTTCTATGGGATTTCACTTATTGAAAATGCTAAAATAGCAATTAATTTAACATTAAAATGTTATCTGGGGGTCCATTTCTTATTATCATTATTATTATTATTTATAATATTGATTTTGCGACGAATTTAAAAAAAAAAAAAAATTTTTTTCCCGATTTTGATGATGATGACGATGATGATCTTTTTTACATTGCGTTTTAATTAAAAAAAAAAATACAAACGAGCAACGAGATAATAATAATAATAATAATAATAATAATTTGCATAGTATTATTTTGTTGGAATTTTATAAAATAAAAAAAAACTAACGAAATATGGGCAGCGTACAAAAAAAAAAAATCCTTGGGAAAAAAAACAAAATAACGAACGTTCAACTTTTTTGTTTTTTTTGTTTGTTTTTTTTTTGCCTTTTTAAAAAACGCGTTCGGTCGTTCGGTCGTCAATTTCCATTTAAGTCTTTGCTTTCGTTAAAAAAAAAAAAAAAAACAAACAAAAATTTAATCGCGTGAATACTCAAAAAAAAGAAAACTCAATAAAATGAACGTTTGTAACCTTTTTTGAAATTAATTCAAACTTTTCTTTTCCTTCCTATTTTTAAATCAAAATTTCATCATCGTTCCTCCCCCCTCCCTTCCCCCCCCACGAAAAGAATTCTTAATTGTATTTCTTCCCATAAATTTTAATAATAATAATAATAATAAATTTAAACCGGAAGGAAACGAAAATTGTTGTTAACAAATCTCAAATAATTTTATTTACCTTATCGATAAGGTTTTTCTCTCAATCAGTGTCCTTAAATAATTTGATAATAATAATAATTGTTTACTTTCATCTTATAATTTTTACACGTGCGTTTTTAAAATATGATAAACACATTTCGATTATTATTATTATTAATAAAATTTTTTCTTTATCATCTCAATACTGATAGGAAGGAACATCACATCGAACGAGAGCTTAAATAAAAAAGGCTAGATTAAAAAGGAAAGTGCTAGAAAAACTTTTAATTACTTAAACCCCCCCCTTTTTTTTTTTAAACCTAAAAGCTTTTGTTTGAATAATAATAATAATAATAATAATAAGTTATCCGATTTCTTATAATGGAGATTATTGCACTCTTAAAAATGATTTTTTTTAAAAAAAAAAAAAAAAAAAAAAACCTTGGAGTATATATAATACGGTCAGTTAATATAACTGACCCAAAAATTTAAAAAAAAAAAAAAATTTTCTTATCATATCACATCAAGGATTATATCGTGATAATATATTATTGACGTTTAGTATTAATAAATACATAATACTGTCCGCCATTTTTTATTTTATTTCTTATTTTTACTAAGTATAATTCTCAAAACTTTATCAATAATAATAATAATTAAATAACGGGTAAAAACAACTCTAATTTAAAAACTTTATTTATTTAACAAACTAACGAAAGGTTTTTTTTCTTTACTATCAAAAATTTAAGGTTTAAACTCAATAGGGAAAAATAGTAATAATAATAATAATAAATTAATGGTTTTTTCTCTCTTCGTCTCGCTAAATTATTTTACTTAATTAATTTTTTTGTTTATATTTTATGTAAGAAGTGAAAATAATTATATATAAATAAAGTAATTAAAATGTCAAAATATGAAAATGGAAGAAATTTGTTTGTGAAAATAATTAACCGCGAAAATTGTGGAAAATCATTTTCTTGCTTTGAAATTTCCACTTTTCCGCCACCCCGCACTCACTTCCCCGTCGGCTCCGTACCCTTCCACCCCTTGAGGGAAAACGAGAGAGAAAATTAATTCGATTTCATTCTGTGGTTTTTTTTTTTTTTTTTAATATTTCGTTCTTTTCTTCATAATTTTTTTTTTTTTTTTAAAACTTTAAATCGTGATTTGCGGTAGCCATCTTTATAATTATTCGATTAAAAAAGAAAATTTTTGCTGTCGTAAATTACGAAACTAATTTCATTAATAATTAATTAATTAATTAATTAATAATGTCGAACTTTAATTCAAATACCCTTTCCTGCAACCGAATAATTTAAAATTTTCAAAAAATAATAAAAAATTCAATCCGTACATTTTTAACACCATAATTTATTATTATTATTATTATTATCATCAATTTTCCCATAAATATTTTACATATATATATATATCGTTCGTACGATCATATTTTTTTTTTTTTTTTGGCGGAGGTTTCAAATTTTTTATTATTAAAAAAAAAAAAAACAAAAAATACGTGAAAACGCGCTAAAAATAATAATAATAATAATAATAATAATAATAATAAAAATTTAAATATTAGCATTGAAATTCACTTTCGTTTGTTTTTTTTTTTTTTTATAACTTTTATATTGCCTACGCTAACATTTTCATGCCAAATGTCGATAACCTGTCTAGAAAAAAAAAAAAAAAAAAACTGAAAAAGGGCTCTTAATACAAACACACAAATGGAAAAAAACAACCGACCCCGAAGAACCTTTCGAGAAACAAACAAACAAACAATATTACATTACATTGAAAGAGCATCGACACTCATATCCAAAAAAAAAAAAAAAAACTTTGCACACAAAAATGTTGCATAAATAATAATAATAATAATGTTATGAAACGTTTGATAATTATTTCAATTGCATCATTACGACAACATGTAAGCAGAAAAATTTTTCTTGTAAATGGCAACTTTATAAAAAAAAAAAAAAAAACACCTTCGAGATATCAATCGATTATATCGATCGATTTTTAAATATCGAAAAAAAAAATCACTGACACTATTATAAACAAAAAAGAAAGAAAAAAAGGGGGAAATTTTTCGTTCCAGTCCCCCCCTCTCCAATGAATGAATAACATTCGAAAACATTGAGAAACCACATAAAACAATCGTTGAAATCTTACATTTTAACAAATTTTGAAATATTTAATGAGGGGGGGAAAGGGGAGGGGAACAGCGTGTCACGTCGATTATAATGGTATTAATTAAATTTTTTTTGTTTTCCCCCTCCCCCACACACACCGCAACCACGAGAAACATTTCCGAACAAAAACAAAAAGTTAAATTTCGTAACAAACCGAAACCGAAACGAACAAACCACATAAAATTATATCGCGATGTTTTTTCGTACCTTAAAATATTAAAAAAAATTTTTTTTTTGGCGTCAATCGTTAGAGGCACGACATGAACAACGACAATAACTGGTACAACACTTGTTTGTTTGAATGACTGGATTAAAGACGTAAAAAAAAAAAGTGGGGCCCACCCACGAACCACGTGCACAAAACTTAATCGCACACAACCGTGCTTTTATAAAAAAAACCCTCTTTTACAAAAAAAAAAAAAACGGTATTTCGTCTGGCGTCACAATGAATCAAATACCTGATTTTGCTTTCGACAAAAAAAAAAACCTGAAAAAAATTTTTTTTTTTTTTTTTTTTTGTAAACGATTCGGTGGCGGGTTTTTTTCGTCTAACAAACAGACGACGGTTGATTGTATTTGCCATTCGACAACAGGTTAATTAATGCTACACCTGTTTACATTTTTTTTTTTTAATAATAATAATAATAATTTTAAACTTTAGGTTAAAAGTCTAAAAATAAAAATAAAAAAATTTTTTTAAAATGCGTTTAACAAAAAATCGTTGTTGTTGTTGTTGTTGTTACTCGTTTGTTAACCTTCGAATAATTTAAAAAAAAAATAAACTATAAACCGCCATTTTTTTTTTTTGTATACAAAGATCTTTATTTTATTATGTAGGCTGAAAATTTTTTATGCAAAATAATTGGCAGATTGTTTCTAGAAACGAATTTTTTTGAAACAATGGCTTCCCTCCAATAAAAAATTATTAATTATTATTATTATTATTTTGTTTTACGCGACTCCTCCTCCTCCTCCTCCGTATTATTAATTGAAACAATAAAAAAAATTTTTTTTCAAATAATTTAATCATCCCACCCCCACGTTTTGTTAACAACAAAAATTAACCGAAATTTCGTAAATAACATTCATTAATAAACAAAAAAATTAGAACACAATTAAATTTTAATTCTTGCGTTAAAACAACCAACAACCTAATAATAATAATAATAATAATAATGTTTAATTGTTTTAATAAATTTACAGATCAACGATAATGTTAAACATTTTATTGTAATTTTTTTTGAATAAGATAAACATTAGAATGATTTTATTTAAATAAAAACAGTTTTAAGGAATCTACTTTTAATAGAAACAAGACAAAACATAAAAACGTCAGACTTTAAATAATGACGTCACAAATAACAAAAAAAAAAAAAAAACAAAGA